GCGTGCCACTGCACTCCAGCCTCGGTGACAGAGTGAGACTCCAACTAAAAAAGAAAAAAAAACTACGGAATGGAAGATAATATTTGCAAGCCATGTATCTTTTAAGGCGTTAGTATCCAAAATATGTAAAAAACATAGTCAATAGCAAGGAAACAACCCAGTTTAAAAATAGGCAAAGGACCTGAATAGGCATTTCTCAAAAGAAGACATACAAATGGTCAACAGATAAATTTAAAAATGCTCAGCATCACTAATCAAGAAATGCAAATTAAAACCACAATGACATACTACCTCACATCGGTCAGGATGGATTTTATTTAAAAAAGACAAGAAGTGAGTGTTGATGAGGATGTTGAGAAAAGGAAACTCTTGTGTACTGATGGTGGGAATGTAAATTACTGCAGTCATTCTGGAAAACAGTAGGAAAGTTTCACAAAAAATTAAAAATGGAACTACCGTATGACCTAGCAATCCCACTTCTGGGTATATATCCAAAGGAAATAAAATCAGTATCTTTGAGTGATCTCTGCACTTCTATGCAGCATGTTCACAATAACCATTTATGTAATCAGGTTAAGTATCCATCAATTGATGAATGGATCAAGAAAATGTGTGTGGGAGGGGTGTGTGTGTGTTTGTGTGTGTGTGTGTGTGTGTGTGTGTGGTGTGTGTGTTTCTGGACTGGAATGCAATATTAACCAAAAACTTTTCAAAACAATGTCACTTGTGACAACATGAAGGACTCTGAGACATTATGCTTAACAAAATAAGCCCATCACAAAAAGAAAATGCAAAATGGTCTCACTTAAACTTGGAATCTAAAAATGTTGCCCTCACAGAAACAGTAAAACACAGGATGTCAGGGACTGGGGTTGGTGTGAGGGAATGGGTAGATTAGATATTGATCAAAGGGTACAAAGTTTCAGTTAGACAGAAGGAATAAGATCTGGAGATCTATTTTATAGCAGAGTGACTATAATTAATAATAATGTATTAGAGCTAGGTGCAGTGGCTCATGCCTATCATCCTGATACTTTGGGAGGCCAAGACAAAAGGATTGCTTAAGCCCAGGAGTTCAAGACCACTCTAAGCAACATAGCAAGACCTCATCTCTACAAAAAAAAAAATTTAAAAATTAGCCAGGCATGGTGGCATGTGCCTGTAATTCCAGTTACTCCAGAAGCTGAAGTAGGAGGATCGCCTAAGCCCGGGAGGTCAAGACTGCAGTGAGCTATGATCATG